TCACGTCCTGGTACCGCAGGTGCCGAAGGTGTTCCTGCAATTAAGACAGAGCCCGGAGAAACGAACGGAAATATCACCAACACAAACGGCGCTCCTGTCAATGGAGCTCCTACCAATGGCACGGCAAATGGTTCACAAGATGTTGCACCATCTCAGGGATCTCAGAAGAAACCCCCTTGGGAGTACACGGAAGAATTGTTGGGAGCTCTGAAAACAGCTTTCCCATTATTAGCACTTTCTATGGAAGCTATGGTTGATTCCATTCAAAAGAACTTCAAATGTCCACCCGATGAAGATGCATACAGATTGATAGTAGCCTTACTCAATGATGGACTTTCTTATGTTAGTCGTACGCCATCGTCTTATGCTAAGGACAACAAACTACCGCCAGCGACGGAAGCAAATATCACTCGCTTTGCGGAGACTATCCTACCCCCTCACATTAGGACGTCATTTGAGCAAGATTTCGTGAAGCATAAACCTACAATGTTCGAATACATTCACAAGCTTAGGACATGGAGAGACAAGTTTGAAGAGAAGCTAGATCGTCGCACCTTGACAGTGCCGCTCGAGGGTTATAACTCTTACCTTATCGATTTCCGTTTCCAAAAGCTTGACGAGATAGAAGTCCCTGGGCAGTACCTTCTCCACAAAGACAAAAACCAGGATTTCATTCGCATTGAACGATTCATGCCTGATGTGGATCTTGTGCGTACAATTGGGGTCTGCCATCGTCGAATTAGAATCCGTGGCCATGATGGAAGCTTGCATCCATTTGCTATACAGCACCCTGCAGCACGACATTGTAGGCGAGAAGAGCGCATTTTGCAGTTGTTCAGGCATTTCAATGGTACTTTGAGCAAACGAAAGGAGAGCAGAAGACGTAATCTGAACTTCCATTTACCATTGATGATCCCTCTTGCACCACACATCCGGATGGTGCAAGACGATCCAACCTACGTTTCATTGCAGGGTGTCTATGATGATCACTGTAGGCGAAATGAAATTGCTAAAGACGCACCTATTGTGTTCAACATGGAGAAACAAAAACTATTGTTTGAGAATAAAGTAAGTTTGAAGGAAGACGGCATTTTGGAAATATTTGTGACTGATTTTTGCCAGCAAAATAAGACTCCTGAACAGTCTGCCACTGCTAGACTCGAGACATTCGCTGCTATTCAAGAAAAACATGTTGGGCCAAGTATTGTTCTTGAATATTTCACAAAAACTTACCCATCATTCTCCGAATTTTGGTTGTTCCGGAGACAATTCTCTTATCAATATGCAGCTCTAACCTTCATGACGTATATCCTACATATGCATAATCGTTATCCTCACAAGATTTCAATCTCGCGTGCCACAGGAAATATTTGGGGGTCTGAATTGATGTCTTGTATGGCAGCAGGCAAAGCAATTTTCCACAACCCTGAGCCTGTACCATTCCGTCTTACGCCTAATATTCAGACTCTTATGGGACCTTTGGCTACTGAGGGTATTTACAGCTGTGCTATCATGGCTATTGCACGATGCCTCAGTGAACCCGAGTTCGAACTCGAACAACAACTTTGTCTTTTTGTTCGTGACGAGATGATATTTTGGCACACGAGCAGCCATAAAGCTATAAAAGATACAGAGTTGAGGCAGTCTGTTCAAACAAATAGCGATATGATAGTAAAGAGGGCATTGAGCATAGCTAAATCACCGGAGGGTGCGCTACCTGCCAACCAAACTGTGATTGATTTGATTGCTAAGGCAGTCAATCCTATGAACCTTGCGCAATGCGATGCTTTGTGGATGCCATATCTATGATCGCAGAGCCTCGGTTATTTAGACGTGGACATGAATGGGAGAGGGGAGGAGGAATCTCTATGTATTTCTTAAGATTTTAGGCGTAATTGGCTGGTGTGTAGGAATAAAAGCTTGCTTGGTTAGTGGGCTTGAGGGGAGTCGGAGGCTGGACTTATGGGTGATTTAATACCGGCGTTTGAATTTGGGAGACGTTGGCAAGTTAAAAGGAGACTTAAAGGTGAACGCAGTATGTTTTCAACTTAGGCTAGCATGATATGATCATCGGGGTGTGTTTGAAATTTTGCTAGTTAGAATTGTATACATAGTATTTTTCGTAGCTTCCGCCATAAGCATAATAGCGCTCGATATGAGGCGATATATCTATTCTTCTTCCCATCTAGTACGGTGGATTTGAATACTAAGACTACAAGATATAAACATAGATTCGGACGCCTGCCGCATGAAGTCTATGTGAACAGTCGTTGGATTAAAGAGAGCTACGAGAGCCGATTCTTATGAAGCTCAAAAATCATAGAGATAGATATATGGTTTAGATGCGACTTGGCATACATAGTACTCCGATGCTGCTAGCAGTCCGAAATTTTTGCCAAATGTATATGCAACGCCACTATGTAACTTATCAGATTGCAAGTTATGATTTCGGGCTGGGAAGGAGGTATGTGCAGTCAAAGGGATGGATGACTAAGCCATGAGGAAATCTAATCTTATAACGTGGTTTATCACCGAGTGGATCACTTCCACCTCAATTCTTGATCTCCCACTTCAACACGTGTTTTATCAATCAGTTGAAATGTAATCGAATAATAAAGAAACTCGAATACTTTTAGCTATTGAGGCTATTCAAAAAGACAAAAAACTCAATATTCGAAAAGCTGTCAAGTTATATAATTTACCATATACAACATTCAATCACAGAATGAATGGTTTTATGTTACGACGGCTTCGGATCTCGTATCATGTGACCAATTATGTAATCACATGGTCCCTTCGATCCCCTCGGTCTCTTGATCGAAGGGACCGAGGGGACCAAGGGGACGATTAGCATGAAGGTCTATATAACCAAGATGGATTTCCTTTGTATAGAGCTTCGTGCTCAAGATCAATCATTTAGTATATCCTACTATTAGTTATGAATTGTATATCATTATTGTCATTACTTAAGTCCCTGCTTGACGCCTAGTTATAAACCACCTCGAGAGCCTAGAGCACTTCCACGTGATCTAGACGGCAAACCTCGTAACAATGTTTTAGTTGTGTTTATGACTTTTAAAGAGCTCTTTATAAAGATTCCAAGTTTATTAGAGAATAATTTTGATTAATATCGAATATACAAGCAAAATATAGTATTCTCGATTGTGATTTCTATAATTTCGATGAAATCGGCTTTATGATAGGTATAATATATCCTGGAATAGTTGTAATTAGTGTTGAACGAAATGGCAGAAGCAAGACAATATAATTAGGCAATAAAGAATGGGCTACAGTGATTATATGTGATAATAGGGAGGGTGAAACTATACTTCTATTTCTGGTGGTTCAAGGATAGGTTCATCTTTCCAATTGGTATACCGAAATCGATTTTCCTGTGGATTGGGCTATTAAACCTATTTCCAATAGATGGACAAACAATAAGATAGGTTTAGAATGGTTGAAACACTTCAATAAGTATACTCTGAATCGAAGAAAAAGCAAATATCGAATATTGATATTGAATAGGTATGAAAGTTATGAATCTGTAGCTTTTCAATTATATTGCAAGGAGAATGATATTATATATATCAAATTACTACTGTATTCAAGTCATTTAACTCAACTACTTGATATTGGCTGTTTTAGCAATCTGAAACATTTATATAATGGTCAAATTGATGAATTTATCAAGGCATATGTCAACCATATATCGAAGGTTGAATTCTTTGTAGCTTTCAAAGTTGTATATCAAGAATCAATCATAGCTCAGAATATGAAATCAGGATTCCGAGGAACAGGTCTAATACCATTTAATCCTGAAGCTGTACTTTCGAAACTAGATATTTGAATTCATACATCTACCCCTCTTTCCTTCGATCTAGATATATAGATCTCTCAAACCTCTCACAATCCAACTGAAGCTCTTTTATAATCAATTTTAGTAAAATCTCGAATAATTCGTCATCAATCAAGCTCCTTTACATTTATATTTGAGATTATACTAGCTCTAGCTAAAGGTACAAAGAGATTAGCTTATAAGAATACATTTTTAAATACAAAGATTTATACACTTCGAAAAGCAAATATAGCATTAAGCAAACATCGATATACAAAAAAAACTTAATTGTATTAAGGAGGAGTACTTACTAAACAAAAGGCTGCAGATATATTATCTCAACAAAAGGTTGATATTCAGATTCAATGCGATAAGCATCAAAAAGGGGGGAATTCTAATAGGGAAGCATCTTCTAATCGATACTGTAGTAAGTGTAGAAAAACAGGATATAATGCAAGAACTTGTCAAAACAGTGTAATAGATCCTAGATTATTAGATTCTTAATAGCTTTAATCAATTGATTCAATTGTTGTTGAATGATACGAGTTTAAAGTGGTAAGTTGAGGTGAAAGTGATCCACTCGGTGATAAACCACATTATGTTAATGTTAATCTTTATCTTTCATCATTATCATTAATCACCAGTTTTTATATTTTTACCTTCCTACTTTATTTAGTCAAATAACCTAACACAGTAAATATATATATCATATCAATCACGTATTGGACTTCAGTAAAGATCTCTCTGAATCTCTTCTCTATTTCTCCAAGCTATTTACTTAGCAAGGTATTGTATTCAAACCGATGCATCAACATTCAAAATCCTAATCCTAATCCTAATCCTAATCCAATAGCAAGTTGTCACTCTAACAAAGGTAAAGTTACCAAACTTCATTTTCATCCATACGTCCACGCAAGCTATGCAATTAAACGCGTCAAATCCCATCATCCCATTCCTTAACTCCAAAGTAGTTATAATTTAAATCATTCCTGTCACTCCTGGTCTATCGTATCGGTACTTTTTGCTTTTATACTCCTTCATGGCTCGCTTTGTTTTGTTGTACAAACAGCTTAATTGTGGCGTGTTTTTCTTCTCGATCATATCATACACACACACGATACTTTCTCGGATTATTGAGCTACTTCTGTGTAGCTATTTGAATGGTTCACCGTCTAAGCATATATCCCAAATCAGGTAACCCACCCACAATCTTCTTCACAATCGCATCTTGCTCCATTTCAAATTTGGTTTTCGAACTATAACCTGTATGGACAGGAGGTGGAAGTGAGCGTCTAGATGTAAGTGATGGAGTAGAAAAAGCAACGGTTTTAGGCATCGGGGGTGCTACGTAAGATCGTGGTCTCTGGTTTGTGGTCGGTTTGGATAAGAATGTCGAGGTAGTGGCGGGTGCAGATGTCGGTGTGTCGAAGAACGAGAAATCGACTGATGCCCATGCATCTTGAATGCTTTTTGTGGCAGGTGGTATTGATGAAAGAGGTGGTTGGGACCAGGTACTTGTGGTTGGTGAGCCTGAGGCAGATGAGATATTAGGAGGTAAAGACCAGGTATCTGTGGAGTTTGTGTTTGATGATAAGGAGGAGATAGGCTGGGGTGAAGGATTAGAGATTGCTGAGGCTGATAATGCCGGTGACGGAGGAGGAATTGCAGGTGACCGTATTGGCACTGGAGTACTTGCTGGTGTGGACCACAGATCTACAAATGAGTTTGAGGATACAGGGGATGAAATGCTAGTACCAGATACTAGTGGAGGCTGCGATACTATAGGACTTTTAGGGTTTCCAAGAGTATCACCAAGGCTTGCTGTCGACTTACGACCAAATTCAGACTGGAGCTTTGTAACCTGAGGATTTGGAAGAGTAATGGAGTTGGGAAACGAACTTCCGAGGCTCAGCGACTTCTTATGTCTTAACCCGCGGGTTGGAAACTTGGGAGTCTCGGTGACAACAGGCGAGGAAACCATTTCGCCCCATTCATCGTCATCGTCATCGTCATCCGAGGAATTGGACACCGCTGTTAGTGATACGTTGCCTGAACTACTCTTAAATGGCGGTGGCATTGAAATTGGTCTAGGTTTCTTAACCGCTTGGAGGAAACTTGGAGGCGGTTCAATTGGAGACATTGGTGCTGGGCTTCGTAATGCGAAACCTGACTGCAGTGAATCTCCAGAAGCGGAATTCATCCGAAGAGGGAGAGGCTTCGTAAAAGTATCTGTAGTTGAGGGAAAGCTATTAGAAGTGGAAGCTGTTTGTGTTTTTGGCGACGAATTCCATCCAAATTGTACGGCAGGAGACTGTGGTGGTGCTTTAACGTCAATACCTGACTCCACTGACTTTGTGGAGCTGTGCTCTCTTGGTTTCGATGATGAACGAGACTTAGATCTCGATCGGTCTCGAGCAAGCCTTTTAGGCACTTCAACTAATTCCTTAGCTTCATTTTTCGCTCCAAGCTTCACGCTCTTTCGTTTCGAGCCAAGTACTGTCGCTAATGGAACAGGTGGTGCATTCGGATCATTCCAACCAAAAAGAGAACCGCCTTTGCCTGTCCCGCCAAGAGTAACATGTCCACTATTTCGATCTTCCTCCATCCACCTTGCCACTATTTTTTGAGTATCTTGCTTGACTTGTGATTGTGCCCATGAGATCCGAACATAGTTTTCATTATCTCCAGTGTTGTATTTCCGCATAGTGCCGTACCTTGATATTCTGTACCACATCTTTCGTTCATCAGCGGAAGCAAACGTGTCAGCAATGATAGTATCGGGTATAAAAATCTTCTCAACGGCTTCATCATTCTTCTCCTCGGTCTCTCCAAACAAAGTTTTCACAGAGCTCAAATTGATAGAAAAATCCACTGGTCCTGACGGTCTTTTCTGTGATCGTATTTCGGAAGTTTCATTATGCGGTGTAGCCAATTCGGAAGAAATAGTGGCCTTCGTTGAATCATGATTTCCTGCCGGTTCTTCGCCATCGTCCGACAAACCCTCTTCAAAATCTCCAAAATCTCCAAACTCGTCGTCATCTGGCTCCTCAGCATTGGAATCCTCCTGTAGCTTGTAATCTTCCGAATTTTCGGGATTTGTTACCACGACGTCTTCATCATCCGGTTCCGTCGAAGCTTCATCCTGTAGCTTGACATCCTCCACTGTGACCTTATCCTCTGACTCCGCCAAACCATCTAAGTCTTCGACTAGCTCCTGTGCGCTCGGCGAGACAGCTCTGGTGGTTCGAGACCTTTTTGGTTCTTCGTCTAGGGAAGTTCGCGCTGAGTCTGGCAGTAATTCATCGTGATTATCTGTATCAGACGGTGAAGAAGATGGGCGCGACGATTCATGCTCCGGCTCTTGTGTCGATGGCAGAACAGTATCGTCTGATTTATGTTGTTCTTCTTTATCGGTATCCTCGGCGTCCTCGGCGCATAGATCACTTTCGGATGTTCCTTCAATGTCTAACCCAACTTCTTTCTCGCTAGCCTCATCTAATCCAGCCGCTACCTCTGGAACTGTTTCTTCCAAAGCAGGTTCCGCTGGCTCGACTTTTGTTTCACCGCCAGACTCTGATTGCGGCACAGTCGCCTCGAATGCCTCGAGAGACCCTACGGGGTCTTCTTTTGTAGGTTCTTCAACGGCCTCTTCGACGGCTTCTACGATGGCTTCTTCGACGGCTTCTACGATGGCTTCTTCGACGGCTTCTACGATGGCTTCTTCGACGGCTTCTACGATGGCTTCTTCGATGGTTTCCGGGTTCGACGTCGTGGCTTCTGAGCTAAACTTGTCTTCCACAATCGCAGATGCATCAGGAGAGGCGGCGTTCGCCCAGGGATCCGGAGAGGGTTCTCGGGCAATTGCTGCAGACTTCGCAATGAGACTGTGCGATAGTTTCGGTACTTCAGGCGCAGGACTCGTAGAAAAATTATCCCAACCCGGTGATAATGCTCCAGAATCATCCTTCACTACCTCCAACCCCATTCCACGTTTCGGTGTAATCCATTGTTCTTCCGCGCCATCCAAGCCCAAACCCCCTTTCCTTCTCCCCCTATCATCTTCCCAATCACCGAACCCGCCGTCTGAAGTTCCCCATGTCGTATTAATGTTCTTCCTTAAAGCTTCACTTGCCTTCGCAACCCGATTTCCAACTGCTGCCTCATCAATGCTCCGAATACCCAAACCATCATCATTATTCAATTCGTCGGCCCACGGTGAGCCCCAAGGATCGTCCATATCCATTCACGTCCCCTGGGAAAACCTCTTTCATATTGATATTCTTTGGACCATCATCCGCTCATTCGTTATTCGTATATACTATTCTTCTGTTGACTAAAAAAACACAATTTCGTGGATCGTATTGTTACTCGTATTAATTCGGACCTCCGAGGTTTCAGGGTCAAATCAATCTGAACAATTCATCCGTTTGTTGTAAGACCCGTCCGGATACACTACGGGAGGCACTTCGGAAGCCTAAGAAAGCACGCTAAAAGCGTCATGGTTCAAATGTCATCAACGGGTTTTCAGCGGATCAACAATTATTGATTAGCAACATCGGATTGATAAGCGATAAGAATTTCAATATTCCAAGTCCTGCTGATGTTGCAAAAGATGCGACAATGAATAGAACAATACAATCTACCGTTTCTTATCTAGTCTTTCATATTTCTGAAGATGTCTTTGGATAAAGTAAAACATATCGTCCTCGTAGGTATTCCAATGCGACAAGAATACCCATTATCATCAATTAACAAAGAACTGGACAGGTCCTATCTGGCAAAGGAGGCGTCGGAAAATCCTCCGTCACAACCCAACTCGCCCTATCCCTATCCCTCGCCGGCTCCTCAGTCGGAATCCTCGACATCGATCTAACCGGTCCCTCCATTCCTCGCCTGTTCTCCCTCGAATCTGCGAAAGTAACCCAAGCACCCGGTGGTTGGGTCCCCGTCCCGGTTCACTCCTCCAACCCCTCTTCCTCCATCGGTGCCCTATCATGCATGTCTCTCGGTTTCCTACTGAGAGAGCGGGGCGATGCAGTTGTATGGCGTGGGCCTAAGAAAACCGCAATGGTTAGACAATTCCTCACAGATGTCTTATGGGGCGAACTCGATTACCTTCTCATTGATACCCCGCCTGGCACCTCGGATGAACATATTTCATTGGCGGAAACACTCCTGAAGAATGCATTTCCGGGCCAAGTGGCAGGCGCAGTGATTGTAACGACGCCACAGGCGGTGGCAACAGCAGACGTTAGAAAAGAATTAAACTTCTGCACGAAGACTGGAATATATGTTATCGGAGTCGTGGAAAATATGAGTGGTTTCGTGTGTCCAAACTGCTCAGAATGTACCAATGTTTTCAATAGAGGTGGCGGAGAGGTTATGGCTAAGGATTTTGGAGTACAATTCTTGGGACGGGTACCGATTGATCCTCAATTCGGAATGTTGGTCGAGGCAGGAAGAAAGCCAGTATATCCAGAGGGAACACTAGTAAATGGGAAAGACATGAGCGATTCCCAAAACGGCATTAATAGTGTTGGAGACGACGCACTGTTAGTAGAGAAATACCGCGAATGCTCTTTATGTCCAATTTTCCAGGACATAACCAAACAGGTCATGAATGCGGTGGAAGGAAAGAGTTCAGAAGCAGCATCGAGTACACGATTTGGCTTGGCAAACTCACTGGGTGGCATAACTGCTGGTGTTGGGGATTTTGAACATTTACACGACAGCTATTAGAAGTTTACGAAGACGCAGCGTCCAAAAAGAATAGCTTTGAATGATTGAATGAGTATTGAATAAATATATGATCACATCAGGAATAAAGTACTGTTGGACTATTCATATATCCTCCCTCATCAATACCAAGTCACTTCCTGCTCTAGAACTATCCATATTACTCACCCATCTTAGCTTTCTAGCACCTCAAACACGGGGCATCTATTCAATAGTGTAAATCTCACGCGAGAAAGTCCTTGCAGATATCTTCGATTCCCAATACTGATACAGATACCTAGTTATCCAACATATCCCTCCATTCCGGGTGTACATGGTAAGCCTCCCCTATGATTCTCGCTTAAAAATACATTGGGAAAGTACTTCTATACTCAGATGACCAAAGCCATGAACTCTGACTTCTTCACTAATTTCCTGTAATTACTCATGGGCGCTGCATCAAGTACACATCACATATCACATCCCATACCACCTGATTTAAGATTTATTTCTATTTCCCAGAACAAGTCCAGACCCAAACTCCATACCATAGCCTAAACCTAGCACTTTGTTTGCTATCATATCAACATGATTACTCGAGCATCATCATCACCATGATGATCACCTAAAATTAAAAACCCCCAATAATCTAGCACGCCACATACATACCCAAATCCCTCAATTCACCCTCCCTAGCCCCAGCATTACTCTCCACATCAATATCATCCAATTCCTCTTTCTTCTTAATCATCCAAAAAGCCCTCACTCCCTCCGCAAACCTCTTACTACTCTTCTCAACCTCCTCTTCCTCCACAGCCGCAAAACACAATCGGAAATATTGCCATCCCCTCTCCTCGGCAATTTCTGGTGTAGGACTAAAGATTTTACCCGGAGCTGCTAATACGAGGTAGGGTTTCATGGTCAAGTAGATCCATAGGACTTGGGCAAGTTTGGATCCAGATACTTGTTTGGCTAGAGGATGAGTGTCGAAATGCATGTGAATCCATACAAACATTCCAGCTCGTGGCCAATCAAAGGAATACATTTTTGTCTTCGTGATGACGGCCCATTCGGAATCGGATATTTGTTTAGAGGTGCCTTGCTTAACGTAATAGCGGCCATCTTCCAACGCCGCACACATTTTGTTCATGCGTCTTTCGTACGTGCCTCTCAAACCCTCCAACCAACGTACCCAACCATCAGTTTTCCAGCCTGCAAATGCGAGTTGTTCGTTCCGGGGCTTCTTAGTGAATTCAGCCGTGGCTTCTTGAGGACCCATTACTAATTCCGCGATCATTGCTTGAACAAATCCAGATGGTTGTGCTGTGGTACTCTCTGTGATACGCAGCATTCGCTCTATAATAGCTGGTTGAGCAGTCATCCAACCTAGACGACATCCTGGAGCCACCGTCTTCGAAAATGTATCAAGACGAATAACACGTCCGTCGACATCGAAATTCAAGTATGACGGAACAAGGCTATCGAGATATGGATAGCCACTAGAGTTCTTGAATGTATGCACGGGCTCTGGCTCTGGTAAAGTCTCACTGCGAGCCTCTGCTTGCAGTCCTGCTGCAGATGGAAATTGAAGATACCAATATGGATCATCTTCAATTATGATTACATCGTACTTACTGCAAATGGCATAAAGTTCCTTGCGTCTCGAAATAGACAGGGTACCACTGGTGGGATTCTGACCAATGCTGTCATTTGATGAGTATTCGATAGCGATAATGAATAAGGTCGAACAGGACTTACGTGATAGTATACATCATATGAGGTCGTCTACCCTTTGATTCATCCCAATTCTCAAGTACATCTTCAAGACTACCAGGACCTGTCGGAATCATTCCCTCAAGATCAATCTTAACTGGAACTACTTGTATACCTCCTAAAATAATTGTTAGCCTAAATTTTCCGATTTCAACTTCTGTAAATACTGACTTGGTCTGCAAGCTTGAATAGCAGTCATATAGGCGAACTCTTCGCAAAGTATGGCAGGTCTTTCTCTAATCCAATCTCTCTCCTCGCTCCAAGCATTAGTCAAAGCTTCAATAGCTTTCGAGAATCCATCAGTCGATCCACATGTTAAGACGATCTCAGCACCCCCTTTATATGGTATATTTGGATGTAAGTTTTCGAGTGCAAATTGTCGAACAAAAGAATACAGTGGTGGATATCCTTGAGCCTGACCATATTGCAAAGCAGTCGTTAAATCAATCTTCTGCAGAGGATTTGGTGTTGCCGATGAATGAGGAACTACTATATGTCTTGATGCTTCTACAGATGACTTTTTGATAGATGTCGCTGCAAGATTGGCCGAAAGCGCTTCAATCTCATCTGGACCATTTGGAGTAGGCTTAAATCTTTCAGGGCGTGCGATTTGTGCTTCTAAGGTATCGTAGGGGAAAAATGATGCATTGGGAAGACCTGAGATGATTGATTAACTTTTTGGTCGACGTGCAGTAGCTAACGGGCTCGAAGTTTGTGGTGGCGGAACGCCTTCCTCCTAGAATGAACATACCTCCAGCCAAATTACCAATCCCGGGAATCTGGAAGAACTTGTAGAACTGTTTGACAGCACTCTCTTGTCGTGCAACCGTTACTCGAGAAAAATGATGGCTTAAATCTAATGGGGGTTCTGGACCTGCTTCTTGGAGTCCTGCTCTCATACCACTAGCAACTAGATATTCATCGTTCCCTACCCGGTTGGAATCCATTTTTTTATATGTATTTACGAAGATTGAAAGTAATAATGTGCACGATCGAACTATATATTTCAAAGAATAAAATAAGATACAATCAAATCTGTGAAGAAAGGAGAATGTACTCTTACACATCAAACTTCTACATAGGTAGTATTTACGCTTCCACTTTTGATACTGCTTACTGATAACGTATCGGTGAGTTCGTAGGGGTTTGTTTACAAATCAAGCTCTTTGGGGGGAGAAGCTCCACTCTTAATCGATCGGGATATGGAGCTTTTCCGGAATACCGTCGCCCGTTGTTCCGCTGGCCGAAAGACTAACTAAGTTGAAGAAGGGTTATTAAAGGAAGAGATGCTTATACTCCGTGGTTGCACGCCTTTCATGCTTCTACGAGATGCAAAAATGTTACCTGTCAAAATACACTATAACAATTGATGTTGCTAAAAGGGGCTAAATGCTGTCGACTTGGATATCCTCGTTTCTTGATTGGCATGGCATAGTAAATTATGATGTTTAAAATGCTCTATGTATCCCGTTCTAATCTCTATGCTCAGATATTTGCAACTTGTGAGACTTCGAAACTGCCCATGATACGCAGCTGATTGTTCTTTCGAGCTTCACATTTATAATTCTCAATATCCCTCTAGTCCAGCCTTATTTATTGATTCCCCAAGCAGTAGCTAAAGCTCGGATTGCTTCCCGATTGTACCTCTTACCATCTTCGAGAATATCATCCATCGCCATAAATGTATCTATGAAGGCGGGAGTCAGTAATCGCGTACCGACGGGTTAAATGCTGAAGCCTGAATCGCTCTGAAGAGCGGAAAGGGCTCAAACGAGGAAACATGTAAATGAACATTGAAACTGAACAATGCCTAATTCAAGAATCAGTTGTACTTACGAGGCATCCCTTTCATTCGAATGACTTCGGCTTGAGAACCTGCAGCATTCATCTTCTCCCCGTAAGCTTCACCTTCATCTCTTAGTAGATCCATCTCTGCTGTCATGATGAGAGCCGGCGCCAAACCCTTGAAGTTGGATGATAGTATGGGGGACACCTTCCAATTCTGCAACTCGAGCGTTAGCGTGCGGTTCGTTAAGCAGCAATGAAACTTACATTATAGGTTTCAGGATCCCTCTTCTCCCCCAAAAAATGTGCCACAAAATATTCCATTTCTACCGCTGGCAACGGTACAGTGAATTCCAGTTCCCTGTAACTCTCATAGCGTTTCCATCCTTCATCCGTCAACTTTCCATCTGGTCCATATCCGTCCACATCTATAACCGGAACGCCCAAAATTTGGAAGCTCAATGGCAACCCCTCATCCCTACAAACATGGCTCACAACCGCCGCCAACATCCCACCCGCACTCATACCTCCAACAGCAAACTTCTGTCTATCTAGATTTCGCTTTTGAACCATATCATCCGATCCAATCCACTTAAAAGCCTCAATGCAATCATTAACTGGAATAGGATATTGGTATTCCGGTGCCAACCTGTAATCCACATCAAAGACCACACATCCCAATTCCCCAACCAACCTCTTACAAAACTCCATGTCCGACTCCAAACCCCCGATAATCCATCCCCCGCCATGGAAATTGATATACGCAGGTCTAGGTTTACCCCCATTTATGTTTGGGGCGGGCTCATAAATCCTCACCGTAATACTACTTTTCCCATCGCCAGAAGGGGAAACTGGACACTGGACATCGGTGATAGAATGTACGTCAGGTGCAATGGCGCGGCCGTAGACGATGCTGTATTTGCGTGGATTGGTCCTGAGTTCCTTGAGCGGAATTTGATAAATGCTTAATCTTCCTGCCGAGTAATGTGTATGATATTTTGCAAAGACAGGATCGAAACGAGGGAGAAGATCAGGTGGGATACTATTGATAAGGGGTTGTGATATGGTTGCTGGTTTGAAGTCTGTAGAGTGCGATATATCTTCCCCTGGAAGATGAGAGACGTTCGGGTAAGGCATAAGTGGATGCGAGGCTCCAGTTTCCTTGGAGAAAATTAGGTGTTCTATGAAATGCTATTTCTGAGTGGGTATCAATCTATATGGAATTATCGTGAATATGTACTACGTAGCTGCTTTATTCGAGCAGATTTAAGATGTGTTGTCGTTATCAAAATGAGTTCCCCGCAGATGCTTATCGGATGCTTCGGATGATACTGCACTAGAGCATTTCTGCGTGACTATCGTTTTTGCATGCATCGGAGGATGTTGGTATTGGAGTGAAATGTCACAGCCAATGTGTTGTATATGATAGCCTTACAATTTGCTAGCGCTTCGTTGTCAATTAAACTGGGGCCATGCCTTCCTCTGATAACGTAAGAGGTCACCTCGTTCTGGCAAGTCACCGAACCGGAAACGAACCATAGTCGACTTACGCTTTTCCGAACAAGTGATTTGCCGTGCGAAGGGATTGAGGCATTTATCCTCCGGTAGAAATAATGCATCGAGCTTGGCAGGCGACTTCATTTCAAAGTCCATGTTGTGGGGAAACGTTTTGACGAGTGCTCTTTATTGATCCATCCATACTGCCAATAGTAAAACAGCATGCGATCTGGTCGGAGGGTGTTGAACTTATGGAGGTCCAAAAACAGTGACCACCCCGTCGGTACCAGCACAGCACCATTGATCTCCTCTACCATTTTCCTTCCAGGCGACGGCACTGATAACATTCGTCCTTTCCTTCTCCTTTCCATCTCGACCAATCTTTTTCTTCCCCTCTGCTGTCAAACCCTCAACCCTAATCCTGTGCAAAACATTTCCAGTCAATGTTTCCCAAACTACAACTTCTCCATCTGGCCCCTTAACATTTTCATTCCCTGATAGCACCCACTTCTCATTGCCACCGAAGCAACTTCTGACTCTGTACTCCTCATTCTTAAATCCCTCATCTTTATAAGTTTTCAAGCATGCCCCACCCTCCCTATCCATCAGCCTAACACACCCATCCAAATTTCCCACCAGGACACCTCTACCATCCCTTGTTCTCATCAAGCTCGTTACACTCGCCCCAATTACATCCGTCTCTAAAGTCCCCGCCCTAATATCGTACCACCTAACCCTTCCATCCACACTCCCACTAACAATCTCCCACTCCCCACTCCCAAATCCCTCATCTCCACCTTTCCCTGCCAAAACAGCGCTGACACTATCCCTGGCATCTTCCATGATCATGACGGGTTTCATGTTGCCTGCCCTGATATCCCAAATCCTCACACTTCTATCAAACCCACCACTGATCAACAAACTCTCCTCGCTTCCTGCAAATACTACACTGTTAACCCGAGCTGTATGCCCATTATTCCCACCGAACTTCCTGATCGTCTTTGCAGTCTGTACATCCCAGAGAAACACGCTGCGATCCCCACCACATGAAGCGAATGTAGCATTTGTAGAAGCGACTGCAATGGACAGGACCTCATAGCCATGCGCAGAATACGTTTGGATTAATTGGGTCGGTTTAGGAGGTTGATGAGGAGCAGTAGCTTGAGAAGAAGCTGCGGGGCGCGAAGGATTATATAGTCGAATATTGCGGTCAGCAGAGCCAGTTAGGATGTAGGTCGAGGGAGAAGATGAGTAGGTTAATGCGTGGACCGGTCCTTTGGTATTATTATATCAGTCTTAGAAACTTGGAATATGAAATGCCGTACACACCGTTGGATCCGACAAGTTGTGTCAAAGGCTTGGAAGAGAACTCCATTCTGATATGGATGTATCATCGCATGATTGCCGATCAGAGAAACAAGCCCTTGGGTCATATGCAAAAATGTTCGATTCTCATGTCGCAAATGATTATCAGAAATTCTAAAGCTCCAACCAAATCTATTCTGCCCTACTTGTTCTCACCGCCTAAAGTTCAACCGTCTATGCCTCATAATCAGGAATTCAAAAGCGCAATATTATTGGAAGACCTGGTTAACATAACATTTAATTATATATTTGCAAATACCAATAACTATATACTTGATCTCGAGACATTCGGGCTCTTGGCATTTGGTAAACTTGTGCGGACAAATATTATGCCGATTTTCTTGATATTTTCAGTATAAAAGAATTGTGGCTGTTTGTGGCTGGTTATCACGGGAACTGGCTAACATCAACGAAGTCTATGGACGCGGCCTAATATTCCGTCCGATGGAACTTAGTCCAAACTATATTATTAATAGCAAAATTTCATGAATGATAAAGGCCTCAAAATTATACTTCGGACTAGCAAAATTTTAAAAAAATATAGTGCATGATGTGCTGGACCTTGACTGGGTTTTCCTAGGGGGGCAAACAGTTGCATCAACAAAAAGTAAAAAGAGTCTTCTTTTACCTGGTCGGCAGAGTACCTGTAAGTTGTCACTCTTAAAACTTAGTTCCATCCCATCTTTTTCCGTATATCCATCATTAGCTTTCATCTCTATCTTAGCCTTATCTACCCGACTTGACATCCCAATCCAGACCCTTCTTCGCTCCATCGTCTAATGAAAAACCTCGACTCGCAACTTTACGAGTGCCATCACTCAGTCTAGTGTTAGAGTCTGAAGCCAAGCCATTAACCCTCCAAGCGCCGCCACGACTGCCGAGTCATCCTGAAATCCGTGTTCTCGACTTCGTACAGAATCCCAGCGCGCTGGTATCGTATTCGAGCTGGAAACTAGCTCAAACCTTGTCATCTATGTCCGCCGGGGAATTAGCAAACACTTCCTAGAAATTCGTGTGCGTTCTCCTAAAGTGGCTAGAGGTGCAGATGCCGAGCGGCTCTCGCATATCGCACTACTAGTCCGGCAATCATCATAAATGCCGTCCTAGAGCGATTGAGTTCTTCTCGCAGTTAGTCTTTTTAGGCAGAATGCGGAATCAGTCGATCTTGACGTAAAGCATAATAAGACAAGGGATAGTGGGTCGATTTGCAGATGTGGCGGATTGGCATCGGTAGTCTGGTGGGTTTGTGGGGTGCTATGTGCTATCTAGATGTGTCTCCACAATACGAAAGATCATCGATTGTTTGGTAGATTGAGCATTGAGGAGAAAGATGTAGAGTTTTGTTTTTTTATGTTTCAAAAAGGTGGAGAACCGTGATCTTTGCCGAGCTGAAATGCAAATGTCTACTGCGAGTGTGATGTGTAGTAGTGAAGACAGATTGTCAACTACCGAGACGGGATGTAGGAACGACAATCACGTGCACTGGCATCGGTACTCAGAAGAAAGAGTTTAGAGGATGTTCAAGAGGTAGTTATTGATATACACATATGTACAGACCATATTTTAACCATGGCAACTTAATTTAAAAACAAGTCGTTACAGAATAGAATATACCATAGAAGAAAAGAGAATTAAATGCTAAAATTTCAGTATGTGCTGTACTCCATACCTATGCCGGTGTACCGCTATGCAAAACGCCATCATAATCATACAAAATGTAAATGCACAGGAGTCCCAAACGCCTCTTGGTATCGTTCTCCTGAAAAGGACCATCGTCAGAAAAAATATAATGTACAAAAAACCACCCTTAAAATGCGCTCATTAATAAATGGCATCATTTTCCCGAGAGAAAGTTTTCTCCAATGGTTCTCTCATCGCAAAAGTCCCATTGCTCAATTCTTTCGCAGCAGTCGACCAGTTTCTGCGGTCGATTTCATTCAAGTCACTCACACGTTGCGAAATGAGTGCTTCTTGTGTCATTGCAGCTTGCCAGAAATGTGAAATTTCACTGATAACTGACCGTGCACCGTGAAGGGAGCTGATGATAGATGGTATTGAAGCTCTCTTTGGTTTGGCTGTAATAATGTCGACTGCTGAGATAATTGCATATCCCACGAATGCTGAGGAGAATTCTGTGGAAGTGCTTGAGCTCGGCGACCTCGTACCAGAGGACTCGCGTCGACTGGCTACAACATTCATAACTTCTAGAAGAGACTTTGCGTGCTCCTCGGCTATGCAAATGTAACGGTAAAGTAATGAATTGTCAAGACTGTATGGATGGACATATCGATGGAGTTGCATAAACGTCGTGTGATACACTGCATGCATTGTTATGTAGGTACCCAGTTCCGAAGCATCGGACACTCTTTCCAACGCTTCTGTTGGGATGGCAAAGCGATCTGGTAGTGTACTTTTCCAGTTTGAGAGGCGACCCATGATAGATCTGTAGAAGCTGTCAAACTCAGAGCCACTTATTGGGTGTGGTCGTTGTGAATTGCTGTAAATGTTGGACATAACATCACCCCAAATCGTTGCTACGTTTATCAGATATGCCATTGGGCCTATGGTCCGTGGATAGTCTTGAGATCGGGGGTTTGACGCCTCAAAAGGAGGATTCTGGACGTTAATCTGGTTGTCGAAGCTTTGGTCATCGCAAGGTAGCCGAAGGTATACGTGTTTGGGGTCAACCATGCTCAAATGGCCGGAGCCAAAGCCGTTAAATCTATCCATAAGATAACAACTCCAGAAGGTTCGCCTCCTGCACTCAGCATATCCACTGAAGTTTAGTCCGAAAGGGAAACACTTGAGATAAGCGTCGTCACTCTTCTCAATCTCAATATTCAGCTTCAAACCGGAAGCAGCCCTCACTGCAGATCCACAGAAATCCCAGGAATCGCTGGGATTGTTGATTGCAAAGTAGTATTGGGCCAAAATCAAACGAGCCTGAACCAATTGGATGCACACTCGGCGACTGTCACATGCATGTCTTGCGATTGCGGCGTATCTTGCCCCCAAATGCTTGTGTTTAGAGTTCGGAGAGAAGGCTGCCCCAAGAGCAAGGATAGCATATGTGAGCATAAGGTCATTTAAAGACTTATCCTGTGTAAAACGAGCCCATCCTGTGAATTTATTTTTCGGAAACATGCAATAAGCGGTCTCTGGAGCATATTTAAAAAAGACTTCCAAAAGCTCGTCAGAAAGACCTGCCTCTGCGGAGTGGAATGGGTCAATCTGCCAGTCCGACTGCAGGGTATGATCACTCGATCGGACGATTCTTGCCTCGGCCCACGCGGTGCTCGGAGATGTTGTCTCCTGAACGGAAAGACGCGGTGAAGCTTCTGAAGCTACAGGAGTGTAATCATTGTAGCCGCTGCGCTGCCGTTTAGTATGTGGTTCTGCTTCAGCGCTTGCACGGCGTAGATTTTGTCGTGGTGAGACAGAATGACTCATCTCACGCTCCTCGACTCTGAAAGATTCACCATCCGTTAAAGAAGAGCCTGGTCTTGGTAGACTATCTTCCGAGTCAGCGGGTGGTGTATCTGGAGAGCTCTGACCTCCTCGGGGACTATCAATAAAACGCTGTTAGCAAATGTGAAAATCATCGAGACAGAAAATTATATCTGTACAAGTAGCATTGGTTCTATTATTATGGTGACTCACGCATTCTTGAACTTGCAGACCCTGCCAAACTTATCACACTGTACACATCTAGGATAGTCTGGATCACATTTGATCTTCTTCTCCCTACATGTGATGCATGCAATCGCGAGCCGCTTTCTTGGTTTCCCCGCCTTGGTAACTCCCCAATGAGCATTCACAGCTTCTCCATCAATTACTGTCTTGCAGTGGGTTCCATCATCGTAGAAATAACATAGTCCTTCGCCCGCAACATCGGCTTGCCTGACGAAACGAGGCAAGAACTGAGTTCCTGTCCAGATCTTTGGACCTAGACCATCCTTGACCGTCACAGGCTCGCCTATCACAGTACCGGCAGGGGTGGGAATGTAGTTCCTGTTGATTGGAGCATGATCCCGATACATTTGCCTTGATTCGTGTTCAGATCTGGAAACATGAGATTGATGTAGGTACTGGTCAGGGTGGGCCCTCAAAGCTGGGAAGGCATCCTGTCGAGTAGCATCCGAGCGAGGCGACCAATTATTGCCCGAATGTACTTGACTTTGCCGTGAGTCGTGATGCGAGAGTGTAGGTGCGTATCGAGGAGATTCTGGGATGGGTCCTGATGTGTGAGGTCCAGCGCGAGGAGATGGTGTGGGATAATCTGGTCGGGAGCTATGTGGATAGTGTCGTGATGCTGATGGACGCTGAAAGTTTGTATCAAAGGGACGATCTGCGTGTAAAGGTGTAGTAGGCAATCGTCCATCTTGAGGAGATATTGATGGGAAGACCGGGCTCTGACGGTCAGAGTATGGTGATTGCGCAAGTCTAGTTGGAGCCGATACACTACCAAAAAGGCTGTTTATTGATGGGAGTGGCTCTTGAGGAGTGAAACTAGGGACTGGTTGGTACATATCTTTTCTCCTTTCTTGGTTGTAAGGTCCTTTGGATTGTTCAGAAACAGGAGACCTCGGCAGTGAGCTGTTACTGTCACTTCTCTCGCGCAAAACGTTGACTCGTTGTTCAGAACTGGTATGAAGAGGAGAAAAATCCTTGGATGTGTTTTGCATCTCGCGAGAAGGTGAGGTGAGTGGTTGGGGAAATATCATTCTCGAAGGGGAGTATTCACTTTTGGAATAGACGAAGATATATGATGCGTCCCTAGGATCCGTACAAGGGCTGTATAGATGTTTCCCTTGAACGTAGCAATGTGGCACAGACACGGTTTGTGTCAAGTAGCTCAGGATGCTGTAATTACTTTCAACACTGAACAATTCAGCTGACCTTGAGTAAGGGTGGTTGAGCTGTTTTCAAACGGCAGTCGCAATGAAGTGCCGCCAGTCTTGATTTGAATGACAGGGACGGTGGTTGAATGAAACCCTAAGTATTATGAGGGAGCACAATGTAACAATGACACGAGGAGGACCCGAATGGAAAGTTGAGATGTGATAGGTATATTGGTATCAATGAATCCTGTCGGTAATGGAAGATTGAAAGTGTGGCTCATGCTGTGACCATAAGTTCGGACAAACCCATTATTCTGGAAGCAGAAGCTCGTGCGAGGCTTGTCGAAAAATATGCTTAGTAGACGGCTGGTATTGGGAGCAGGGAAGAGCCAGAACAGACATTAAAGGATGGAATCAAGGATGAAGTACCTGGTAGTTGCAGAAGGAATATGCAGTCCAAAAAGCTGGTCAGAAAAAGGCTAGGGACTGTTTGGACAGCGGGCCTTTATGTATATGTGTAAAGAGAAGAAGGGCTCGAAGGGTCTTGAGGGGCGGGCGGGACTCTGAATCTGTGATGATAAAGATCGAACTAAGACTTACCGACCCAGAATTTCGTAAATCTAACCAACACAGCCTATCCTAGCCCTCCTTAGACTAAGAGGGGTAATATAGTACCGGGTGTTGAGAGTACCATAGACTATAGTGCGGTTCTTAGTCTCAAACTCCAAATCAACAGCTGCCGTTGGGAGACTTTGGAAGCGAGTGCGTCCACTTTCGCGCTTCGGCATAAGAATAGAGCTGGGATGGAGCAAACGCAAATTTGAGCGATCAAAGACTCGAACTTGTGGGGTATCATCGATCGTGGGCCCGTGGCGGCTCAGACATGATCTGAAAAGGCTGCTCTAGTGTCATAGAATGCTACCGGTACAGGATAGCCTGTGGGTACTGTACGCAGTCAAGCCCGTCGAAACTTGAGCTGTGGCCAGATCCGGATAATGCAATGTGGAAAATCGAATTTCGACTTTATTATTACTCGTAGATTTGGTGCCATGTTCTGCACCATACTCCTTAAAAGAAATCTTAGATATTTTCTTAACCGGGGATGGTACGACCGGGGCATAAAGCGTGGCATGGCAAGGTATGAGAGGCCAGCTCGCGAAGTAAAATTGAGGGAGGGAAGGGGGTTGAGTCAAAAAGGCCAGGGTTGGGATTTACTAGGGAATGCGACTTCGTACTGTTTACTTCCTACGGGGTACTAGTGCTCTACACCAAAATAGACTTCCTTCGCGTTGATTTCCTCTCAAGGAGCATGCTGTAATTGCCTATAAATTGACACGATCGTTTAGCGTCTTATGTCATGTCATTCTGACTCTGTGTAGCTTCATCATTAATTAGAGATATCTAAAGTTGAGTTGTCGGCTATTAGGAAGAGAGTTTGACTCAATTAGCGTACTCGACAAGTACATGATTGAGCGATTGACATCAGCATCCCTTCGAACCTGTCGTAGTCCAATAACAAGAACTGTGATGCAGTTCCCCAGGGATTCAAACCCAAATACCGGTCTATACATGCAGGGAGTGTTGATTTGTGCGTATAGCCAGCTCCGCCGGTTTATCCAATATTTTACTTTAAATGGTGGAAATATCTATACTTCTCGCTTCCAACGTAATCTTCCGTACTGTAATCCTAATATCGGTAAGAGCAATTTTTGCACATCACTTGGCTTGCTCGATTTTAACTTTAGTCTCCAGAAAAGCTGCCATTACAGCTGCTACCCACTTCCACTGCCGTCTGTCCCCATAAATTTCGAGTTTGTCAATGTTCATCTCCATCTCCAGATCCATCGGCTTCCACTTTCCACCCTCTTTTCCACTTTCACAAAATATGGTTCAAGTAGGAATTGTAAGCGAATGCGAAATTAGTGTTTGTCATGGTACTTTTTTCTTTTATATCCATGTGGCCCGTGGCAAAGCATTTTGCCATTCCGTCTCTTCAAGTCTCCATATAATGCTTCTACCCGATTTCCTTCGACACGGGAATCTCGGACTTTCTCAAAAACCCTTTGGGGTTCGTTTCATTAGTACAATATAGATCTACTCGCCGGTAGCTTGAGGCCTATATGTAAAGAATTTGTTACGCTCGCATTCTCTCGATACATTTTCATACTGTGGTGTATATCCTATCTACCTCTTCTAATTTTACAATATGTTATTCGGTGATCGATGATCATGCAGAAGCTGCTCAGAGGAGTGGCTTACTCCAAACATCAAAGGATTTGCTTATTTTACGGTTGGGATTTTTTCATAGCCTCGTTTAAATGATGACCTTTCATACCGAAAAAGGCCGTGAAGGGAAGGATTTTGGTGGATTCATAGACATGAACTTATCCAAGCTGGGCAATATATGCTGTGTTGGAATTGCCAATCCTACAATCGTACCACCTGCGGGTTAACCTTTACCTGACGAATCCACCAACGACTATAACAGTTGGTTTTATACGACGTGTACCCATGGCACCCCATTCCATACAAAGTCCAAATGTACGGGAATAATACAACAAAATTGTTTCCAGCTCCGTTTCCCGTCTCCATCGTCCCTCGGTAACTCGGTACTGGGTACTGAAAACACTTGGTCCCGAACAACTGGTAAATAATTGCAATTATGGTATGAGATGGAGGTTTCCTATCTGAGGCTATCCCCAAAGCCTATTTGCTCTTCACAACCAATAATTACAGCTCCTAGATGTCTTTGAAAATCGAGAAAAATCACATCAAAGTACTACCATAACTAGCATTGGTCGCCGACTGCCCGCTTTTTGTCGTCATTACACAACCTGTTACCTTCCCTATTCCGTCAGTCACTGTCTTGCTAATCATCAGTCATCATGGTCCCCCGAAATTTGAAACTTGAAAAGTTCGTATAACACAATGATGAAATAATGATAGGCTCGGATAAGCAGGATTTACGAAGACAACGTCGAAGATCATCGCTAATCATTCTAAAATGATGCAGCACTTCCTAATAACCAAGCAATAAAAATGTTCTCTGTTTCAACATTAACTACATACCTATATGATATATCGTCTCAAATGATACTATTGTTTTATTCTTTTTTCGGTCCCGAGGTAACGTTTCGATACCTTATAAAATTATGCAAGTGATGTGCTTTCCCCAATCAGGGACGTGCTCCGATGGCTTCCAGCTCGTTTGGGTTTAATACATAGATTTTACTCGAGCACTATACACGGAGTATATGGAAAAGAAGAACGTTGACCCGACCCCACCAGGATGCTCAAACTTTGCGTATCCATTAGCTCCCGGCTGATCATGTGTGTATTGAGTCTGGCTCTGACTTATAAATATGTCGAAATGTCAAGTCTCAGCCATAACCAAAAGTACGACAAGAAACGAAAAGAGCCGCATTTCAGGGAGGTTCCTCATGATGATCTCAAGCCACAAAATACTAAAGCGCTAACTGTCAGATGCACCATCATAGATGCCGAGATTTAGTTATATTTTACAAAGATCTATTCTATCTGTCTGTTGAAAAAAAGTGATTTCGATAGAAATTTGAAACCCGTTCCTTGCAAATCTGCATTACACAATTTCCTCTCTTCTTTTCCGTCCCAAGAACCGAACCAGAACACGCACAGTATGTCCCAATTCAGATTTGACTGCATATCTCTACACAGTGCCGCAAACGGGCCGCAGCATGACCACCTCCCCATATTGCTTTGCTGCCTCGCAAGTATGACCATTTCGGGTAGTGTTCAAGTCTTATCCTGGGACACGATCACCGTGGAGACTTCGACGATTCGCTGGTGTGCAAAATGTGGTAATCCGTCTCACTCCAATGGCTAAGCGCGGTCGTCCACAAAATGTTTGCTATGTCCTTATAATGGTCAGATCCATCCATGCCGGAGGGAAAAATACCGAAAGGTCATCCAAAGAACTGGTAGACTGACCCGACTGTGCCTCTCGTCTGCAGGAACAAGCGCCGCGGCCTGGGACCAAACAAAATTATCTACACTCTGCAGATAATATGGAGAAGTAGCTCGGGTCTGCTGCCAAGACTTCAGGGGTAGTCATAGGCCTTTTTCATGGGTGCCACGAAGTCAACGATAAGGTCAGTCATAATGCCGTCGGACGTGCTTGCCGATTGACCCGGAAGGGTGGAACTGCCTTTTCATTGAGTTGCAGCACATTAGAGTGGAGAACGAGTCCATTTTTTCTCTCTTATAACAAGAGCAGCTACTCATTAAATCAATGCCGATATGAGTGACAACACGAAAGAAGCATTCCCTTGAATTAACGGTGTGGCAAAAACTCCCGTCAAAACGTAAATCTTTCCACAAGTACTCAATTTTCACAACTTGACATCGGCTGCGCTGCTTGGTGCTTATTTAATCCTCCTTGGGCTTTAATTCAAAAAATCAGATTGGACACAATAATTGTGGATTGATTCCTTCTGACTGCCATGCCCTTGTCATCCATGTGCCGCCGTCCATCCAGCGTCACGATGGCCATGATATCTAGGGATTAACCATAAATTACCATAAGCTGCAAGCGAGGTTCCATGCTACTCGCCCAAAGTACGACAATGGTAAGAATTTCGATTCGTTCATTTACGAATAAACGGTAAGCCGTCAGCTTTGAATCTTTAAATCGTTTCCGTGTCATGCAACCCTCTAAAGATAGCCCAATACATATAAAAGAGACCCAGACAATGGGTAAACAAACAAGTGGTGTAGATCTAATTACCGGCCGTTGCACAAAAAGTACGACGATAAAAAAAGCCTAAACAGGCAGGTCGGTTAGGTGTTACCAATACCTTGGGTCAGCTTTCGAACAATACCTATTTCATTTAATGAAGTGGAATTGACATGGATATCATTTACACTTTTTTAATTAAAAATCGAGTTTTGGCAAGGGACGACAACCGGGGTGACTAGACGAAGAAGGGACATTCCTGCAGGGCGGATGATATCCGAGGTCTATTTACCTTGCTTTCCGCGGAGAGTGAAGGTAGTCTAGATTCTAGAGTGTCATTGCTTCTGTGTCTTCGAAGATTTAAACAAAAGGGACAAGCATCTCACAGGCCATTCGTCAAATATTGCCATATTGAGGAATAGATGGTTGATCCCACGTTTTGCTATTTACTCCATACGGATCGTGAGGCAGATGAGGTGGGTGTACCACTGTTATAAGCTATATTCGAGGTGTCTAGCGTCATTGAGGCTGCGAAATGTAACCCAAGACTGTACAGCACTACCGATGAGGGGTTCGGATATGCCGTGATTCGTATAAAATCCTAGAAAAGAGCGAAAAGTTCATGATTGGTGCAAAATAACGAAGCGTCATCAAGCTGCTAGTTGACCAATAAAAGAAAAGAGCGAAGAGCGAGATATGGGGAAGATCTAGCCCAGAATATATCCTGGATGAGCAAAAGCCCTAATTCCTAAAATAGTGGATATCTGCATTGGGAAATCTGGGACGAAGGAAGTCTAGAAAACTACTCCGTACAATATCTACCTCCTTCGGCAAAGGCCAACTGTTGGCCTCGCCGAGGTATAATTAGGGTCATTACGGGAAAATCGAATGATTTTGTCTTCACATCGGTAATATCATCCGAGTTTGGGCGAAGAATTGGAGAATCTAATTCCGGGAATGCATTTATTGACACCCCTATTTTCCTTGGGGTCAGAATTAGCATGTGTTGTAGACGCCAAGGTATATGTGCCCATAACAATTCTACATTATCTAGATAACTGTTGGAATCGGTATAATCTATTGCCCGACTTTGCATAAGCATGTTCATCTGATGGCTGGGCATGCTGAGCGACAGTGGGTGCATTCCCAGTTTGGTAATTTTGTAAACGTCCGTATGATGCTGTTGGCTGCGTGGAACCGAGGTGAATGGGGTAAGGAGGTAATGTCATGTAAGTACGACTGAATTGAATCAAAACAAGTAATAAAATGAGATAAAAAAGGACAAAAATTAAAAGATTTTGCAATCTAATGCATAACATAATTCACAACAACACCATCTCGTCATTCCTTCGTTCATTTCACACCCTTAGAAAAAACACACATCATCACACAGCAAATTGTATGGCTTAGAAGCGTCCCAAGGGAATGGTTGCATTTATCCATCCATATATCTACTACAACCTACGACCTACAACCTACAGGCCAATTATCCGATATCATCCTTCCTTAATCTTCCGTTTCTACCATCCATTTTCCAACCGCGCGTTTCGAATCAATGATACCCTATCGCATCACTCGGACATTAGTTACTGGGGATATACTCTGTACAGCATCTGTACCGTATCTTCATGCCGTGCCACTAAAATTACATCCAACCTCTCACATCTCGATTTATTCTGCTGCCTTGTCATGTTGGAACTTTGGATCAAGAGTTGTGGAGACGAGGAAACAGCACGGCACATTTCCCGCAGCAAAGACCACTGGGGAGCAATGAGCATTGAACACACCCCCATTTATCCATTTACTGATTAATCACTTGATTTGTTTTTTGTTTTTTAATTATTTTTATTGCTTTTACATTGTCTGCACTTGCCACCAAAATGAATCCTTGTTCCGCGTATGAACCCTTGAAAAAGACTTGGAACCCACCTAGCAGCTACAAATAACCAAATAATAACCAAATAACTTAAAACCTAATAAATCAACCTTCACATGTTACAGCTTATCATAACCCAGCCTGTAATGCCACATGGTATTTACGATCTTTAGCGGCACGGCACAGCAAAAACAATCTTGCGTGATGCTGTCAGCTGCGTGGCAGTCGAACGGCACAGCAACATGAACTTTGGGAATCATTTTTGACTGGTGATTGAGTGGGCCACGATGACACAATCTCAAATCCTTCACTCTATCATTCCTGCTGCCAAGTGTTCTTTTCGAGGTATTGTGTCGGCAATGAGAATATCTTCTAATTCTGGTCTCTCTCGCTTCTCAACATGTCATAAAGAATTGCGGGATCAATATGGTGTAGCACTGTAGCATAAGCTTCATTTCGACCACGCAGTGATGTAGCATTGACTAAGTATTCAGGAGGCACAATCAAGTTGATTTGGTGTAAGGGCGCCCCATCTACCCATGCCGGCGTAAGCACGCGTGCATGAAGAAGGAACCTCTGTTTCTGAATTAGAAACATGGGGGATTCACCAAAATGAGGAAAGAGAAGGTTTCTAGAATCCATACGTCGCATTTCGATCCGTAGGATTTCTTCCAATTCTTCGATTTCTTTCGGTTGCAGCTTCTAACGATTTATCTCACCGCTTATCATTCATTCATTCCCTGTCGCCGGGAACTTCCCAAATCCTTCGTGTGCGACCCTCATCCCTCGTGTGCATCCTTCTATAAATTCGACACCGCTTAATGTCTAATATACGGCATACAAAGATGTAAGACGGCACATTTCTTAGATGAAGACAAGGAAGTATCGTGGTCTTCATGGGTGCTTATTCATTCTTCTCGGCATAGTCTGCTGATAAAACGTGGCCCGTAGGCAACAGAATAAACTTCCTCCACCTTCCTCATTCTCTCAAGACTGCTTCTCCTAAATCGTGGCATTCTCGTGGTCTTTTGTAACTGTCTAGTTTGTTATCTGATTTTGATAGAAAGGCTGCGCCATCTATTAACAGCTCTGAAACCAGATAAAATGTACGTGAGAGCGGCTATTAAGATCTCTTGAATGGATGGCTACGCGGAAATTGTTCAAGCTACATAGTCTTCCTTCATATAGTTTTCAACATCACGAAATCCTGTTCTTCTACAATTGGCAAAGTCAAGTAATTCTGGCCCATGTCAAATCATGGCAGTGATACCAGTTGTATTCACAACGACCTGCGTAACCCAATGCTAGTTTCATTTAGATGTTGAATGCAGTTGCTCTCTCCGCGAGGGAAGTCATCAGCAGGCTGATTTACCCATCCTAGATCTCGTGCATCATCATGCCATTTATTACAAACTCCACAAGAATCATCCACTGTCACGTTCGTCCCTTGCATCACCTTCCCAAGTAATGCGTTGTGATAGACAATCCTAACCAGTCAGATGGTCTCATGAGTCTAAACAAATATCCCAAATCATGCACAAAGCCTTCTCCCACAATGATATCAATCTAGCTGCAGCCCCTGGATAGGCTGACACGCCATAAGAAGTGATCCCATCTTTATGAGCTCACCTAGTAACTTGCTTGATAGTTCAATTTTCTGTTTACGAACCCCTTCCTCTTTTGTGGCCCCTACCAGCATTAAAACCAACCAACATCATGGAGGCTCAAACACCCGAATGTAAGTTTGTTAGTCTGCATACTTTACGCGCTCGGAAAGTTTCTGGATTCGATAGATCATGTATCCACAGCCAGTTATAGATTGAAGCTCTGAAAGATATCTTACATTGAGGATTTCTCTTGTCGGTTAAGGTTGAAAATCACGGAGTAGATACTAATTCTGTATTTCTGTACCTAATGTTAGTTGAGTTTGTTGTTCCTGCACTTGTTCCTCCCATCAAACAATATCTCCACTTTTGACCGTTCTACGAGGCGTGGAGACGGCACCCTTTGCATTTACCTGCATAGATCCATTCGTTTTCTACAAATAGTCCATTGCTTTACATGACATGACATGATATGAAATGACCTATCAGTATGTCAGCGGGTATGCCTCCAACAATGCTAGTCAGCAACAATAGAACCCGTACATTCCTCATTCATATTTCAAAGCCCCGGTGCAGCCTCGTCTGTTCCTCGTGCATTCCAACGGCTTCTGGGAAATTTCATGAGCCGGGATTTTGTGTATATTCTTTGACGGATGTCCGGATGGGTAGTGTACAGTGTACTCGGTATAATGAGGTGGTTAGTATGGGGCAATCCGTAGGTTACTCGAAAGTCTCATAATCTGTATTTTCTAGGGATGAATTGCAGAAGAGGAAGCTTGAGAATTTTGGATTTAATTCTTGGTGCATGTATATCTGTCTACTGAAGGATATATATAGAGATATGGTGTTAGAGTTATATTCATCATCTGAGATATAATTATTAATTAGTAATTGAAGTGAAGCAGTAATCCTCATTCTTTTCATTTCACTTGTTCCTTTCTAAATCTATTCTATAGAGTATATCGAGTATAGATTTACTGTATACAATGCATTTACTCATAACTGCACATAACTCCCTGCCCTCTCATTTGCTAATCCATCTACATCTTTGAACCGCAAACTTAATCTCTTTGTAGTCATAGGCGGCTCTTCAAATATAAATCATCGAGTCCATACAATTATCTCCTTCCCTCAATCAAAAATTGCAAACAATGACCCCCCAAACCAAAGACGCGCAAAAACATTCATTTTCTCTATATATCCACCCTATTGCAGCAAGACCAAGACCAATAGCTACAAGATAACCTACTTACTACCTACTACCTACTGCACTCTCACAACTACTGGTTGGATTAGTGCAGAGATTAGGGTGATCGATATCTATCGGAGGTGCTCGATGGGACTGTGTGGCGGGTATAGTGTAGTGAGTATGTTTTATTGTGTTATGATTTGCGGTGGAATGATGGGTTGAAGATTGGAGGTTGGAAGATTAAAGTTATCATATAATAATAGAAGAAGTCTTCCAAATCGCTTGTTTTGTTCAAAGAGTAATTTCGATACTTGCGTTGCAGTTTGAATTGCGTAATGTGAGTTGTAAGGCGGGCTGGTGTCGATGTTTATCGACTATGTTGACTCTCGCTCTCATTGCTACTGCTACTGCAACTGGTACTGGCACTGGCACTATATCCTCTCTTACAGTTGTCTTGTGAGTAATATGGGGAGATGCAAATAGAGACGGATAAATCGAAGATGTCAATATGAACTTAAAATATTTTGGCACCCCATTCTCGTGTTCGCTTTGCATACTGTATGATTAGCCGAATGTAAAGAGAAGATTGTTCGGTCTGTTTTAAAGATTACTCGATTTCGAACACTGAATTTTATCGAAATACTCCTCATACGCGCAAGGAAATCCATATCACATTCATCAGAGTGTCCTCTAGACATCTAAAAGACACAAAAGGACTCACAGCTATAATATAATACTTTGAAGTAGGGCCTCTCATGATCACAGGGACTTCACCATGACGTGCTCCAATTACCCTGCGGGGAAAGAAGGGAAAAGCTATTCAATAATTCACTATACCAATCTTATACTTCAGGTCTCATCTTCACGCAAACAATAACATCAACACTTGCATGAACCCATACCATCCTTTCCCACTCAATCTGCATACATTTCCCCAAAGAAACCATCATCATCCTTCGGCTGCGTCTTAACTGGTTCCTCCACCACCACACCAGGCTTCTCTTTCACCTCCGCAGAATTCCCACTCTTCGTACTCTTCGTCGGTATCAAGCTTGAACTTTTCCTCACATCAGTAGTAGCAACCTGCAACGTACTAGCAGCTGATGATTGTCCCTGAGCCGCTACTTTAAAACACATGCACTCGCAAGGACCTGTGTGTCCAGCTGCCTTTTCTGAGTCGTCAATAGGTTGGGCGTGTAGTTCGCCATCGGAAAGTTGAGCCGTTTCGTATTCGAGTGCTTTGATTAGTTTGTAGATAATGCTTGCTAGACCGGCGCCGGCGATAGGACCAACCCAGTAGATCCAATGGTAGCTAGGGAAACTCCTGGTTATGACTGCGGGGCCGAGGGAACGAGCTGGGTTCATAGATCCGCCGGTCCAGAAGACGCCTTGAAGAAGCAGGTGTGAGTCACTTTAGAATACTTGGGATAATTTAGTTTGGCTTACCAGCAAGTTCTCCAATAAACACTGATAATCCAATACCCAATGGTGCCAAAAACGTAGCTTCATGCTTTTCGGCCGCGAGCATAAGAACAGTAAAGCAGAGCTGACACGTGAGTATCATCTCGACAATAACTCCTTGTGCTGTGCTCATGCCAGGCTTAAGAGTCGTTGCTGTATGCAAACCCCCATGATATAAACCATAGGCCATTGCCGACGCTGCGATTCCACCAGCACATTGTGCTATACAAAGTAAGATACATCTTGTCAAATCGATTGCGCCGACAAAGAATAGTGCAATAGAGACCTTTTATATGTTAGCACAAAATCTACTCGTTATATTCCGATAATAACGCACAGCCGGATCGAATAGTCCTCCACTAATACGGAAGAAAGTCCATGCATTAACCACTAGACTGATTCCGGCCCCAAATGCTATAAACAGTATCTGATCGGTACTAATTGATTTCGTCGTGTAGTTAACTTTATCGCCTTTGTTATCATTCGCCGATGCCATGGCCACTTCTGCTGCGGAAAAAGCGATGAATAGAAAAGCGGTTGTGCCGATGAGTTCTCCAATAACAGCGACGACATGTCCTCGCACTGTTTGCGGAATGGAGGCAAAGAACTTCGTGAAGACTTTCTTGAGCGGATCGAGACGAGAGAGTGCGGTCTGGCCGGGACCGGAAATATTAAGTGTAGGTTGGCCATTCAAAGTCGTGACGGACATTTTGATGGACTGTAGGTTTGAGGGTAAAAATGCCGTTCATAGGTTTGCGAATTGTAGAAATCATGAGTAGTTGAAAGTGCGAAAGGTCAAAATTTCGAAAACATTATGTTTTACTACTATTTAGTCCAAGTGCTCTTTCTATACGGACATGCCGAGATGACTATCGGGGTGCGTAGCCAGAGTCAGAGGGAAAGAACGCCCGCGTGAAAAAGTTGAAATTCATCTTCAGTTAATTCTTGACTAGTTGACAGTGATATAAATCTATTGCTTTTTTCTTATAGAAATGCAAAATTTGGCGTCCTCCAGATGTAGTGCTTGCTTATACAATGAAGTGAAAAAAATAATGCCATCATCATGAGCCGGTTTCCTTTAAAGCGCAATATATGGCGAAGGAAATAGATCTAAATGTGTCGACTTTATCAAACATGAACAAACCTACACCCGAGCCACCTCTCGCAAATCTCCATTCTCAATGAGACCCTTTACAATTTCTCTGGAGAGACATTTGCCTTCCTGTACACTTCCTCTTCGAATGTGTGAAACAATCGATTGCCTTTTGGATCTCCAGGAGGCGTAATCTGCGAGGCCCACATGCCACATATTCCATCTTTACGGTCGATCCACCAAAAATTGTTTGGATATCCTGTCCAAGCCAGCGAGCCCTTGCTTCTACCACCAATATCCTCCAAATTGATCATTCCTCCGAGGCCAAAATCGACTTTGGCTCCTTGAGGTAAGTCACCCATACACGCGTTGACATCTGGATTAGAAAGGGTTTCCATCAATCCTTTTCTTGCGGCTTCGCTGAGCTGCGGCTTAAACATCTCGTCAATGGTCTCTGATTTCAGCAATCGACCATCGTCAGAACAAATGCTATGCAAACACTTGAAATAGTCGAGGGGACTTCCAAAAGCTCCAGCACCTCCATAACAATCTTTAGTACCTGGATGCCATAATCCTTGACTCATGTATGTGAGCTTGCCGTCGGGGTTTGCCGTTGTACCAAACGGAGTTAATGGCCCTTCCCTTCTACTCATCGCAACAATTTTCGAGATTATTTCTGGGTGCTGAATCGGATGGAAGGTTATGCTGTCTACGCCAAGAGGTTCCCAAATATTCTTTTTAAAGTATTCCTCCAAGGAGATGTTGCCATTGACTCTCTCTACCATTTGACCAGCCCAATCGATATTAGCGCCGTAATTCCATGAGTCACCAGGCGCGAAGAGAAGTGGGAACTTCATGACATCTTTTACCAATGCGGTCTCATTAGAAAAGTTAGGGGGCTTGCCAATGTAGGTTTGGTAGCGAGCAAGTAACGGATCTTAATCGTGTTTAGCCATTTGGATTAACGGGAGAACTCATATCACTCACCGAAAATATCATATGCAATACCGGAGGAATGTGTGAGAAGATGTCTGATATAATCAGCTTATATTCCAAGGCACCGCGAGTTCAACAAACCGAAGTGTTATAGTTTTGTGATTGTCTATCAAGATTGGCTTCCCGCTCTCTTCATCAAAACCAGTCAAAATTTGTACACCCTTGAATTCTGGTAGCAGTTCACAAATATCGCCGTCGAGGCTTAAAAGGCCTCGTTCAACACACTGCAATGCCGCGACAGTTGTGATTAGCTTTGTGCAGGAAGCAAGCCACACGACATTATCCAGTTCCATGGGCGTCGCTGGATCCTTGAGAGATTGATATCCGAAGGCTTTCTCATAATGAAACTTCCCTAGTACATGTTAAGCTCTGCAGTTGATCAATTCGCAAATTGAGATTGGAGGAAATGTTATGAGCCTCAAAATTGTGATTAGAGACTTTGGACATATGATGCCAGATCCACACACATAAACTCCCACCATCAAAACATTCCGCTGAATCAAGAAGAGAGACATACCAGAAATATCTCCTGCCACTACAATTGCACCTGGAATATCTCTGGCTGTGCAGGCATCTTGTAATGTCTGTTCGAAGTTCGACATCTTGTCGTTGGGACTAACGAATCACGAAAAATGGACCGGGGTTGGTTGATGCGTACGAGGAAAATGGAGGTGCAGCGAAACAAGTATTAGAGCAATGATTGTAAGATAAGGTCAATAGTAGAATGGACTGTAATGAAAGAAAAAAGAAAACGAGTACCTGTTTCTAGGTATTTATATAAAACAATCTATCCTCTGATCGGCACCGGGTACCTCGGGCAATTACCTACCCGCGCCGTTGTCCACTTCGCTTTGTTGTCCGTCCAGCTCCAATAGTTGGTGCCCATAAACGACCTGGCCGTTGACACTTGCTCCGACTATTAATCCACCCCGCTTTAATGTCTAACCCCTCGTGGAGAAGTTCGAACCTCGGAACAATAGTGATTGCCGAAGTCCATGAGCACTTTTGCAATCCTCATCGAAAAAAGTATCTCAAACATTGATATATTCAAGAATCTGTTGAAAGTAATGGTACAGTGGTAATATGAAGTAGGGGAGCTAGTCCCAATTAGGACTAGTAAGAGCTTCGACTTATTCAAAGCTCTTTGCTTTTGTATATCCTTTACTCTTTAGTGATTCAATAATAATCTGAATGCTTCTCGCTATGCCCTACAGAGTTATACTTAAACAGAATCTGAAATTTTATATTTTAAAATACAAATAAAAAATCACCATTATATAAGTGAGTGGATTAAATATATTGTTAAAAGGAATAACTTTACACAGGGAATAGTGGGAAGCTGATAGGGC